CATATTGAGACCCAATTTCTTCGTATCAAGCTTTCGAATTGGAAAAATGATATTTCTATAAGAATTGTAGCCCTCTGAGTTAGCGTTCAATACACTTTGAATTACTTCAATTGGATATTAGGAGAGAAAGTTATGATAAAAATACAAAACATTGTGCAGCTGTCGGAAATTTGGCGAAGCGCGCCATCGCCTACAGGAGAGGTGCGCGACCTAACCAAAATGGGGTGCCTAAGGCATCCCAAACCAGCTAGGTGCACGCCCTAGATATGCCTAGGTGCGTGCCTGAGTACAAAAGGGAAAAAAATCCGTCGTTTCTTTATTTTTGATTTGGTAACAATTCAATGCAATCTTTTTGGCATCTTTTAAATACCAAATTCGGCCAGAACGTGGGGGACATGTCCATTCGACCGAAATTTCATCATATTCTACATATTTTGGAGGTGAAGAACAAGTCTATACATCAATTCAAGGCAAATCATACAAGGATTTTGAAAATTCATAACCCGATTTCAAGATTTGAGCTAAGAACGTGGATTTCTTATACTTCTTCCATCTTTCTTATTTCTGGGTGATTTTTTCAAATTATTCTTGTTTAAAATTTCTTCTATCTTTCTTATTTTCGGGTGATTTTATCCAATTATTCTTGTATATTTTAATTATAAGAATGTTAGGCTAAGTTTTTCTTTGAATTGGATGAATAATGAACCCTATTGTTTGTTTATTTTAATTCAAGATAATTGGTTTAGTATTTCTTGATTGATTTTGCATTATCATTGAACTATTTTATTGATTGATCACCATTAGATGGTAAGTTGCTAGTTGTAGTATAATAATACTCACAAAAGTATAGAACGCGGTAAAATTAACACATGTGCAATATGTTTTAGAAATAATATATATGACATGTACAATCATGTGTCATAAATCATGTGAATCAATGCATGTTTTCATATGAATTCTAACTAGGAATATGATCGGGTCTTGTTAAACATAGGTTTATAATATCTTGAAAGAGAATGAATAACAATGAATTATCGATTGTCTTAAATGCATGAATTTACTAGATTACGAATTAATAATTGAATTAAATGATAATAGGGAGATTCACAACTCCAATACAAACATTCACATGTTAAATAAATACTTTATTTGCTTTGTTAGTTTAGGATTAATATAGGAAACATGCAAACCATCTCTTTTGATATCACTACACTTTGAATTTAATAGTAGCTCTACAAATTAGACCTTATTCCTCGTGGAACCATACTCTTAACTCACAAATCTTATTATTTATACAAAGATCTTGTACACTTGTAGATTTTGTCCGAAAAAGCATGATAGACAATTTGGGTGCATTGTTGGTGACTTGAGGTATGATGACCTATAATACGAGGGCAATGATCTATTGATCGTTGAGGAATGACCTATGATTAGGTCATGAGCGAAGCGAGTCAAAGAAGTAATGAAACTACTTACTCATGCTACGGTGAACGAAACATTGATCACGGCAAGCAAATTAACAAGTTTCATGTTGGGCAAGAAATATAAAACGAAGTGGAGCAACTTGATTCTAGCAATGGACAGAGAGGTTGGAAGGAACAATTATGAGACTGCATGGCTGCTCAGGGTATGTGGTCGCATGCCCCTTTTACCGAGCCCACAAGGGAGGGCCTCAAATGATCCATATGACAGCATAGAATTACACTATGTAGCCACATAATGTATTTTCGGCAGCGAATTTTTTAAATTTCGCATAATCTTCTATTTTAGTCAAAATTTTATTTTGTGATATCTTTTGTTATTTTAAGAGTTTAATTCCATTTTTACTAGGATTTTAGGGATTCCATATAAATAGAATTATTATTTTCATTGTAAAACACACAATCATTGAGAGATTTATTGCAAGACCTTATTGTTTTCTTCTTGTTCTTCATCCAATTAATTCTAAACTTATCAAGATAATTTCTTGTGGCGTTCAAACAAATTGAGTGATATTCTTGAATTTTGTAATCGCGGGGTCAATATATTATTGGCGATTGTGTTGGTTCATTGGTTCAATATTTTTGAATCAAGATTAAACATTAATTCTTGGCTTTCTTTGGATTGAATCAATCTTGTGTGAGTTTCGTAGCTTCAATTGACAATTGCTACGTGAGTTTGCATCAATTCCTCCTCATTTTTCAAATGATGAAGGCAAGTGATCCAAAACGACTACTTGTGGTGAGAGTTACTCAGTAATAACGTATTTAAACATTGAATTCATTTTATATTAATGTTAACATTTAATTTAAAGTCAATGATGTTTATGCTAAACCACTTTGTTGGCCACTGTATCCACCCACCATTTTTTTGGGTGGTGGTTATGTGCTTGGTTTTGTGGTGGCATGGTTGCGAGGATTTCCTTTGTCGTAGGAGTTTGGTGTTAGGTGGTGGTGGTGGTTGCCGATTTTTGGTGTTGGGTGATGGCGATTTGCTATAAATATATGGATGTTGAAGAAGAAGATGATTGTTTGGTTACAAGTACAAGGATGGCGTTGAAGAGGAAGATGGTTGTTTTGCTAAAAGTATAGAGATAATGTTGAAGAAGAAGATGATAGTTTTATTGTAAGTAGAGAGATGTTAAAGAAGAAGAAGGTTGCCTCGTTGCCAATATAGGAGTATTTATGGAAAGGGGTATAAATGGTATTTTTGCAAAAACGTTTAAAAAGTTGCTATATTTAGCCCCTATTTGGGCTCCATTTTTCCAAATTATAATGAGGGAAATAGTAATTTTTTTTGTAGAATGTATGGTTAAAAAGGAAAGAAATTTTTTTTGGTTTATTTGTAATATTATTTTATCGGAAAATGTGTGATTGATAAGAAGAGAGAGAAAAATGAATTTTAATTTAATGGGAGCCATATAGAAGCTTAAAGTGCACCCATAGTTTTTGGCTGCTATTGAAGATCAATAAAGCCAAGAGTACATAAAAAAGTTTAACTGAATGTATACAGATGTTGATGTGACAAAATGTAATTGGACTTTTTTTTCTATCTTCCAATGAAGTCTCGCCATGTGTTGTGTGTAAGGATTTTCTGTCAAAAAATTATGTACTCGTAGCATAATTGATTAAAGACCCTTTAATCAATGAAGAAAATCAAGTCTAGACCCTATAGTATACAATGAAATTATTAGTGGAAATCCGAAAAACATTCTTCTTTTATTTATGAGAAATTGCTGAAATAAATATTATTTCATCATTGTGTGATGATTATCAACTATAGGGAGTGCTGCCAAACATGGAATTACAAGACCTTGAAAATCACAAACACAGAAAATATGTTTGATATAGAGTACTCGATAAGACTTGACAATCTTCGAAATAAACTTTTAACCTATTTTCTTTCTTAATATTATCAAATGCTATCAAATTCACGTACCAAACATGCACACAGAGCATAAAGCGAGTAACCCGGGTTAAACGTAGGCATTGGGGTTCTGGAGAAGGTATGCTTCAACAACCTTGTATATTGCCATTACCTTTTCCTTTCCTGCTTTGATTTCTTCTTCTTTGAGCATAAAATCTCCCGATGTATAGTACTTGCTTGTAACCTTCGAAATTGAGCCACCATCTGGAGACTGTTCGAGTTTGACGTAGTAAGTTATTTTTTCGAGCTTGTCGATCAAGGCATCACCTTCGATCAACGTGTAACTGTAGGTGTAAGTATCTTCATTCAGCTCATCAATGTGGTATTTCACGGATTTGAAAGCTCCTCCTGCACATAGAAAACTCCACGTTATTTTCATTTCAATGATTTATTTGGTCACAAAACTTGAATGCAGTGGTATCAAAGTAATGTGGCGCTCAGGATCAGCCGCATTGGAGGAGAAAATTATTATCACGAGACTAGTAGCCTCTATGCAACCAGGGAGAAGTACGTTAATGATCTGATACCTTCAGCAAAGTTGATCTGCTTAATGCTTCCAGTGCCTCCGTTGCCTTGTACAAATGCGACGCTTTTGATAGCTTGTGGCATGAGCTTAGGGATCAAGTTATGAGAATCAACAATAGAGGCCTTAAAGATCCTCGATGGTGATACTGGGGAGGTGTATTCATCAACGAAAGTAGTGACAGCCATGATATTTCAAAGGATTGAAAAAGTTGAGTGCACAACAGCAAGAAGAACTACTTTTCTTATAGAAAGCTTTAGCTGAATGAGAAATCATAGGAAAAAAATAGTATTTAAAGACTAGAAAAGGGGGGTGTTTTTGTTAGAATTGTTCTGAATTTTGTCATTCTTGACAGAGACTAATATATGCCTTAGCCTGTCCATATGTTTGTCATATAGACCTTCCAAATGTTTTACAAATGGATAAATATTATTAAAAGAGAGTGCAAGTAGAGTTTGGCATCAACGGCACGTTTAGTGGAAAGAAGCTAAAATCTTGTTACTCTTATACTCCCCTTTGTTTTCATCTTCCTAGGTGTATTATTCTACATTTCCCCAAAAGATTATCCATTCATTTCTTTCTTCCCAGTCGACCTTGATGACTAAAATGACACATAAAATCTAGATCTCAAATGGCGAAGGACCAGTGGTGGGAATTTGCAAAAGTTGGACCGATCGGGTGTCTTCATTCTAGCGAAGGCACATAATATGAACATAACAAATTGAGAGCCTGGGGTCAAGGAAAAGTCTAGTGCATACCAAACATGCACAATAGATCTACTAAAGGAACATAGGAAATATCAAATTAATGTAGTAGGCTTTGTTGCCTGCAGATTGTTGGGTTTCAGAGAAATGGGTTTCAGAGAAAGTCCAAAAGAAAGGATATACAGAGAAACAAAAAACAGGATATGCTTAGTTTCCTGATATCTTTATAATCTGCACAAACCTATTACAATAAAATTATCAAGAAAAGCACTTAAAATTAACTCTTTAAATATCTACACATTCTAGAGCCCAAATATTCTAGTATACTCTTCATTCTCAAAGGGTGGAGAAATCTTCAAAACTTAGCCATGGGTATCGACTCTTTCAGCGACGAATATACTTCTCCCATTCATCCAGCAAGAATTTTTAAAGCATCAATCATAGACTCCCACAACTTGATTCCAAAACTCATACCACAAGCTATAAAGAGTATCAAATTCATCCAAGGCAATGGTGGAACTGGAAGTATTAAGCAAATCAACTTTGCCGGAGGTAAATTAAAACGTCCTTCTACATTGTCTTTCGAGTTTCTAGTGTATAATTGCAGAACGGGATTTTTGCAGGTAGTAACTTCGATTCTGTGAAGTATCATATTGATGAGCTCGACGAAAGGACATTTACATATAAGTACACATTAATAGAAGGCGAAGCCTTGATAGACAAGCTAGAAAAGATTACTTATGATGTTAAGTTTGAGCCAACACCGGAAGGTGGTTCTATCTCTAAGGTAACTAGCAAATATTATACTAAGGGAGGTTTCAAGCTCAAAGAGGATGACATCAAGGCTGGGAGGACAAAGGTATTGTCTGTGTATGAGGCTGTCGAGGCCTACCTTCTTAAGAACCCTGATGCTTATGTCTAGATTTCCTATTCTCAATACTCGTTCTACTGTCGTGGCAATTANTATTCTCAATACTCGTTCTACTGTCGTGGCAATTATTATTTTCATTCATTTCAAATAATCTATTTACGATTGACATTTACAGAAATTTCGAATAAAATTAGTGTCTCTTCTCGTTAGAGATGTTGTATGGTTTCTGAGTTTTGACATAGATTTCCCAGAATATATGTTATGTTATTTGTGAAGTGCAATGAATATCATCAATAAGATCTCAAATTTTCCTGATCATCACGGCGGACCCTGGGGGTCATAGGGGGCACATGCCCCCAACTTTTGAGAATTTTTTTTTATTTTTTTAAAGTTTTGGTAAATTTTAATCTAAATCAGATTAAAATTAACAAAGGTATTAACAATTAATTTTAATAACATATTTCATAAAATTCATAACTGTTTAACTTTTATCAAAATTTACTAAAAATTTGATTTTAATCTCTACCAAATATGGGTAAAATCACAATAAATTTGAATTTCGATAACTGCTAATTTTAAAATTCTCCTACGATCGTACGTTAATCAAATCTACAAATTACTTAT